TGGATCTCTCTCTCCCTCCCTCTCTCCTTTCTCTCTCTCTCTCTCTCTCTCTCTCTCTCTCTCTCTCTCTGTCTCCAATCTTCTCTCCCTCTTTCTCTCTTTCTCATTAGGAATGAGGAGGCAAGAACCCTGTTTGCAGTTTTTCGGGGGTGGGGGACAGGCAGGGGCTAGATGTCATTCTCAGCCTGCACAGGATACCGGGGACCTTTGCCAGAGGAATGCAAGGGGACATCCTGCCTGGTGGGTCACTCCTGGATTTTAACTTCCTGCCCCAAGACCCAGTGCCCCTGCTCTGCAGGAGTGCTGCCCTGGCTGCCTCCCTTCTTCCTGCTGTCCTGCCCTCGGATTGTGGTCCTTCCTGTCGGTACAGACATATATCAGGGGAGCAGCCATAGGTGCTTTTGCAAAGGTTCTGATTTTTTTTTCCATGACTTTTACTGGGTTTTCGCTCCTCAGTCCAGGAGTAGCTCTGAATTTCTACCCCTGAGATCAGACCTTCCTGTGACACAGCCCAGGAGCACAGCTGTACCCTCCAGCCCTCACCCCACCTCCTCTCGGCTCCTTCCCCGGGTGTGGATCCCGTTCCTCAGAGCACAGGAAAGATCTCTGGGCAGTCGTTCACCTGGAGTCTCCCTAGCTCCCCCTCTGGGCAGGGTGGCTGACCTAGGGACCCTCCATCACCAGGTTTTGAAACCCCTGAGTGATTCTGACCCAGGACCCCTAGGATGCCAGTCGCGTGCGGCACAGCCCAACCCCGATTTCCTCCCCTCTCCCCAGATTGGATGTAAGCCATACTCCTTTTACCATCTTAATGTTTCCCTAATATGTCCTCTTCCTTCCATTTGCAATGCAACTGACTGGACGGGGCAACTCCGCGGGCGCGGACCGGAAGGTGTGTGAGTGGCCAGAGCACGTTGGCCGCAGCTCTGCTGAGGAGCGGGGAGCCCGGCCCGTGTAGATGTGCCGGTCCGTGCATCACCCTGCCGGGCCCCCACTCTGTCCAGAGTCCTCCACACCCCGTAGCTCTCCCAGCACTCCCGCCCTGCATGTCCCGGCCACTCAGCCCACTTGAAACTCTTTAATGTGCCCTCCCCAGCAGGACTGTCCTGCCACAGGTGCCATGGGCTCACGCCGCATGCCCCCACCTCAGCCTTCTTTTTCTATAAGCACCTGCTTTCTGGCCTCTCCGAATAGCGGGCTGGAATTCCCAGAGGACAAGGACTTGGATTTTGTTTTTGTTCTCTGCCATATTTAGGGCCCAATGGAGCAGAAGGCTGAGACAATCCTTCAGTAAAAGTCAGTCTCCTAAGCCAGTGCACACAAAACCACTCACTACTCCCTGCGACCCTTAGCTGTGACATCGCAATGAAGACATGCCTTGGGCTGGGGATTTAGCTCTTTGGTGCCACCGCGCAAGCTCAACATCCTGAGTTTGATTCCCCAGTGCCAGGAAAAAAAAGAAGGAGAAGGAGGAGGAGAAGAAAAGAAGAAGGAGAAGAAGAGGAAGAGGAAGAGGAAGAGGAAGAAGACATGCTTAGCAAAGGAGTGAATTCTGGGTGTGCCTGTGGCCTGTTTCCAGGGCTGATTGGCACATAGGCCGAGAAGCTGAGTAGGGAAAACCCAGCCTGGTTGGGGATGGCACCAACCAATAGGCTGGCACCTGGATGGAGTAAAACGAAGGGAAAGATCTGGGTACGGGGCACACACTGTAATCCCAGCACTTGGGAGATAGAGGCAGGAGGATGGATGTGAGTTTGAGGCCACCTTGGGCCACATACATAGTCAGTTCATGGCCAGCATGGAATACATAGTGAGTCTCTGTCTTAGTTACTCTTCTCATTGGGGAAAAGGTTTATTTAGCTCACAGTCTGAAGAGATTTCAGTCCATAATCTGCTGGCTCCAAGGCAGGGTGGCACATGGCAGAAGGGCAACAGTTCACGGCAGCAGAAAGACAAAAAAAGCAGTAAGACACCTTCACAGCATCTTTTGGTGCCTTTTATACTGTACATAGGGCCCTGGAGCCTAGCAGTGCACCATGAATCTGTTTCGGTGTCACACATTCTAGATCCAGCCACCTCTGAGAAAGCATGAGACTTCGGGGGACATCTAAATGCAAACCATAACAGGTCCCGTCTCAGAAAGAAGAAAGAAAAAGGAAGGAGGGAGGGAGGGAGCGAGGGACGACTGTGTGCCTGGCTGTGTGAGCTGTGTGTCACTTGCTGTCCTCTCCTTTGGACGCTGGTCTCCAGCTTCTGGGGTCTCCCAGTGCAGACGCACTGACATTGCTCCAGTGCGCTCCGGGCCTTCAACCTCGGGCAGCCTTTATCCTTCTTGTTCTGCAGCTTCCACCTGCTCAGGCCGAGCTGCCCCTGGACCCTCTGGCTGTCCCGCACCGGATGAGCACCGTGGAGCCTCCTGTCTCTGCTCACGGAGCCTTCCTACCAAGCCCCTTACGTGGTGATTCACATAGTTTCTGTTCATTCTCTACTGCCCCAGTGGACGCTGACCAAGCTGTTCTCCAAAGCTCATTTGAGAAATACCTACTGAGCACGCACTTCCATCGCTCCAGAGTCCTGGGCGTCCAGGTAAAGAGGGTCCCAGCCACAAGGTGTTCCCTTCCTGGTCCTGAGTTACTCCTTTCACAGGGTTTGCACCTAAACAGGAGGATATCTGTGTGCAGTGGCTGCTTTGCTTGGCATTTTCTCCAGCTTTGGTTTTTACAGTGAAGGAACTGAGTGACTTTGGATGCCTTTCAAAGACTGAAGTTTGTTTCTAGATTAGCAAAACAAAATGGTCACAACAATAATTTGGTAGTTTGGATGGCAAGTGTCTTCCATCCTCCAGAGACCCACACATTAAAGGCTTGTTCCTGGGGTGGTAGGACCTTTAACAGGCAGGGCCTGGTGGGAGGTTAGAGGCCATTGAGATGGTGCCCTGAAGGGACTGAGCAAGGCACTCCCCCTACTTCCCTGTGATGTTAGAAGTTTGGTTTTGTTGTTGTTGTTGTTGTTTTTGGGTTTTTGAGACAGAGTCTCACTATGTAATTGAGGCTGACCTGACCTGGAACTCACTATGTAGCCCAGGCTGGTCTCGAACTCACAGCAATCCTCCTGCCTCAGCCTCCCGAATGCTGGGATTACAGGCATGCGCCACCACCACACCGGGCTGATGTTAGCAGTTTTGCTGTACTCTGTGCTCCTGTCAGGATGTCCTGCCTCACTACAGGCCCGAAGCAACAGGGCCAGTTGACCATGGATTGAAGCCTCCCAAAGTGTGACCTGAAGTGAAATCTTTCTCTCTATAAATCAATCTTCTCGGGTATTTTGTTATAGTTATAGAAAGCTGACTAACACAGACCAAAAAAAAAAAAAAAAAAGGCAAAATTTGGACAAGAGTGACACAGACTCACAGTTAAGCATGCTGCCCCCTCTGCTGTCTGACTGCCTGGCCCAAGTCCAGGCTTTGCCACATTCTGGACAAGTGACTAATTTAACACACTTCCATTTTGTTTTTCAGCACTGGAGATTGACCCAAGGAACGATCATGCTAGGCAGGTGCTCTGCCACTGAGCTACACCCCCATCTGTGTTTTAGTTTTTGCATCTGGGAAGTGCAGTTGATGACAAAACCTCCTTCCTTGGAGACCACGTGAACACTGAATGAGTAGATGTGCCTGACACAGAGTAAGTGCTCAATAAACACTGCTCCCAGTGGATATTGTGGCCCCCGGGGCTGCATCTCTAACTGGGGACTTCACCTGGGGAGTCACAGGTGTGTGAAGGAGACCCACGGGGCAGGCTTGTTAGAGCTGCTGAGCGCAGGGTGTAGGTGACCCCTGTCTCTGGGGTGTTGCAGGGAAACATCTGGTGCATTCAGCCCAGCTGTAAACAGCTTTAGATTTGGATGACGGCCACTCTCAAGTCTCATTCCCACCAGCGCGGTCTTGGCCCTCAACTTTGGAAGAAGTAACAGGAAATGTGGCCAGAGGAGCTGGCACGACGGGAAGAGCACGGCAGGGCGTGAGTGTCCTCCCTCGGCACGCGGGGTTGTGAAGATGAAGGGATTTGGTTTTACTTTCATGCAGCTCACTGTCTAGCAAGAACTGTCAGTGCTTTGTCTGCCTTTCTTCCTCCATGCAGAGTGCGACTGTGGCAGCAGGAGCCCCGCGTTTAGAGGACAGGCAAAGCAGAGAACACGGTTGCTGGAGCTGAATCTGCCCCGTTTTCTATCACTCGGGTTTAATGAAATGGAAATCTCCCCTATTAGGGAGGAGTGCTCCAGTCGGAGCAGTGTCTTCAGACTGACCCGTGGCTTCTGCACTGCTTTAAGCTCTGCCTGCAGTGAGTACCAGCGGTCAGCGCCCAAGGGCAGGAGCCCCCCGCTGAACGCCCTCCACCAGGCCAGCAGGGCTGGGTCTGACTGCAGCGGGGAGCAGGACAGAGGGCCTCCCAGTCCTCCCGTTGCCACCGACTTGGCTGAGGAAGGCGGGCAGCGAGCATCCCCCACACAGGTGCTGTGGGCCTGGGCCTCTTGTTCCGCTAGCAGAGGCGGTGCCTGAGGCCGAGGGAAGAAGCTTCCTCAGAAACAGGCTCCGCTGATGTGGGAGGCGGGGACCGCTATGCAGGGGTGTCTGGGCTCTGCTAGCTGCTCTGGGTCCTTCCCCTGCCTGACTTCCTGTGGTGCTTCCTGTGGAAGGTTCTTCTGCCTGCTCGGGTCTGGGGTGGCTGTACTGCCCGGCACCTCCCTGGTTTCCTTGTCACCCTGTCGTTGCTCTGAGCTTAGTCTTCCCCTATTGGCCGCTCCCTGAACACCAGGAGGCAGGACACACAGTGTCTGTCACAACTACCACCAGCTGACCTCCAGTTTAGCACATGGCCTGGCGTGTGAGAGTCACTCAGAAAATATCAGTGACATGAAAAGGAAGGAAAGATGGAGGAGAAGCGGGGAGAGGGAGGAGGAGGAGGGGAGACAGGGACCAAAGAAAAGAGAGGGAAGTTAGAGCTCAGCTTTGTTTTACCACGGTCCCTAAGTTACAGCTGAAGAACCCTGGCTGTTGGAAGAGAGGGCGTCGGGCTGAGAGACCCAGACCTTTACCTCAGTTTCTCCACTGATCTTCTGCTTGACGTGGGGCCATTTCATTCAATATGATTTTTGGAACATCACGAGATCCTGTCAAAACAAAGAAAAGAAAAGAAAGAAGAGAAAAAGAGACAGACACTCTGGGGAGAATCCAGGTGACATGGAGGCAGAGGGTGGCGTCCGGAAGGTAAGGGACAGCAGGGGTCGCCAGCGTCACCGGAAGCAGAGGGGCAGGGAAGGACAGTACAGAGAGCAGGCCCTCCTTTCAGCCTCTGGAGTTGTGAGAGAACACACTTCTGTTGTTGAAACGACTCCCTACGCCTCTGACCCACACAGTGTGATCCCAGTCCCTGCCTCTCCCCAAGCTCTCCGGATTCTAAACTCCTTCTCTTCCTCTTTGTCCCCTAGCCAGATCCTCATCCTCCCTCACCTGCTTTACCTCAGCAGCTAAGACCTTGCCTGGGTCTGTAGCAGTAGCTAGAGCGGTCTTGCGAGGTGATGCCCCAGGGAATCTCCTCACCCCTCTGGATCCTACTGCAGAAGGCCATGAGGCCAACACAAAGAAGCTCTTCGATACTCGCTATGGTTTGGATGTGGTTTGTGAGCTGGAAGCTTGGTTCCTAGTGTGGTGAAGTTAAGAAGTGCTGGGACCAGTCAGGTAAGGCGGTGCACACCTGTGATTCGGCACTTGGGAGGCTGAGGCAGGAGGGTCATTGTGAATTCAAGGCCAGCCTGGGCTACATAGTGAGACCCTGTTTCAAATTTAGAAAGTGGTGGGCTCTTTAAGAGGTAGAGTGTGGTGAGGGTGGGGTCACAGGAAGCACTGTTGTCAGAAGGGATTCGTGTACTTCTCGGCCATTGTATCCACTCTTATGTGCTGCTGTTCCCCTGATTCTACCCCTTTCCCTCTGTCTGCGGTCTCACAGGTGATCTCCTTTTTTTTTTTTTTTGTACTGGGGATCTAACTTGGGACCTTGCACTTGTGAGGCAGGTGGCGGAACCGCTGAGCTAAATCCCCGGCCCTTTCTCCTTCACACCCATCCATAGTCTAAAGCCTCCGGTGTGCACAAGACAGGGCAGAAGCGTGGAGAGAAGCTAGATCAAGCAGCCCTTCCTTGGGACTTCCCAAGTCTGTGTGCCAATTACTTCCCTCTGCTGTGTGAGTTGTAGGCCAGGCGTGTAGCTCAATAGCAGAGCCCTTGTCTGGCATGTTCAAGGCCCTAGCTCAATAGACGCGGAGTCTCCTTGAGGCAGTGGCCTGGACTATTTAATGCGGATTTTCAGTGAGCCTCGGGACCATAATCTTCCTGCCTTCCCCACAGGGCAGAAGTGATTTTAAATAGTGGGTACCACACCTGCCAAAGATGTTGTACTGTCTTCTCCCTCAGGTCAGTAGGAGGAGCTTTCCTTTGTAGTAAAAGCCATTCGCTGTAAAACTAGGCAGATCTGCTTTATTTAAGTGGTGAGTTTTACTTCCTGAAGCAGGGGGTAAGGTGAGAAAAACCAAAATGTCATTTCCGGGTGTGCTCCTCAGCTGTCTGTCTTCTTTTCTTCTGACTGCTGCAAGCAATTGCCACAGATTTGGTGGCTTAAAATGGCAGAAGTGTGTACTCTCCGAATTTCAGAGGCCAGAAGTCTGAAATGAAGTTGTCAGCAGGGCCACGCTGCCACCAAAGGTTCAAGAGGAGCTCCGATCCATACCTTCCCTCTTCTGCATCCCGGGGCTGCGGGCTGCCTGGCACACACAGCCATGTCACCTCTAGGGATGAGGTGGTTGTGTCACTTAGTGGCATGTCATTTGGTGATGTGGTCATCCTGTTGCCATGATCTCTGTCTTCCCATGGCTGTACCTATGTGTGTCTCTTTGGAACTCTCCCCTCTTATCTTCTGTAAGGACAACCGTCACTAGACTTGGGTTCTACCTGTTCAATCCAAGATGGTTTTACCTTGAGGTCCTTAGCTTAATTACATCTGCAAAGACCTTTTCCCACCTAAGACCATGTTCTGAGTTTGCAGGTGGAAATCCCTTTGAGGGACTCCTATTCAACATCTGCTAGCAAATGTCCCTCCCGAGGACCTTTTTCTGTCAGGTCACCCCCTTGTCATGTCTTGGCATATCTCGAATCTTGCCTTCTCGCCTCATCTGTTTGGTTTTGTTTTGGTACGAGGGATGGAACTTAGGACCTTGTGCTTGTGAAGCAGGCGCGACACCATGGAGCTAAATCCCCAGCCCCTACCTTTGTCATTCACCTGCCTTGTCTAGTCCACCTCCGGGCAGCATCAAGATGACCTTTCTGCAAGGTGGAATGGATCACATCACAGTTCCTGCTTAAAAAGCAATGCTTCTAAACAGCGAGCCTACATGGCACTCTCGTTCTGGGGAGTTCAAAAAATATGTTGAAATGGAAACATTTCCCAGCTTCCAAACTCCAGAGAATCTGCTCCAATTCATAGATTAGAGCAATTTAAATGCATTCATCTGAGCCATGTCTGTGCCCCTCCTCTGGCGCCCAAATTAATGAGTTAATATCAGGGCTCCAGGTTCTACCCAGATACCTTATCTAATTGGATGCAAATTAAATATACACACTTAGCAAAGTGAATTTGGAAACTCCACAATCCCCCACAGAAAACAAACTTGCAAAGGTTCAAGATGGCCAACCAGTTCCCTTAGACGCTAGCCTGAGGTAACTGTCTTCAGCTTCCCACACTTGGTCACAGACGGGGAACTCAGAGCTCCCACCACCCATGAGTCACCACAGAGGAAGAAATGGTTAGTCGGGGTCCAAGCCCAAGTCTCTCTAGACTGCTTCATTTCTGCAAATGCACAGAATCAAGTTCAAGTGAACAATACTTCGTAAAGATGTCTCAGTGGTCCTTCTAAAATGTTATCCCTCAAGGATGCATTTAAAGTCACTTATTGGATAATTTAGATTCCAAAATCACTAAGCAGGCCAAACTCCCAGTGACTCATGAGCTTTCCCCATTGGAAAGCAAATCATAGTTTTAAAAATCTAATTGTACCTCTAAAGCCTAGGTAATAAAGGATCAAGACGAGACTCAGAGGTCCTCAGAGTCGGGCTGGGGCTGTAGCTCAGTGGCAGAACAGTTGCCTGGCGTGCATGAGGTACAGGCCGGTGGTGCAGAGATGCAGACGAGTGGCACTGCCCAGACTCTTGACGTTTGTTCCCAAGGCCGCATTAGTATCTCCTAGTTGGTCTCTGCCTCTTAGCTTTCATTTTTCTAATCCATTCTCTCCAGGGCCATGAGGGCCATCTTTGCTGAAAATACTTCTATGGCTCCCTAGTGTCCTGGGAACAGTGGCCACACTTTTAATGTCATTCAAGGGCCCCTGAAATCTGGGCCTCACATACCTTTATAATCCCATCTCCCCTCATGTCACTGTCACTAGACACTAAATACTCCCCTCTCGATCTGTTCGGATCTACCTAAGACTCTTCTTTCACAAAGTCACTCACATTCCCACAGAAATCAACTCTAAGGCAAAGTTCTGTAAGAAGTCTGTGGTTTCCGAAAAACACTGTACCTATGGATGCCTCCCATCCTGCGTACTCTTCTTAGTGTGCCTGACACCCACGTCGGGCAGGTGTGGGTCTGCATCCCTCCCTTTGAAGCTGGGTGGATGCCTGGGCTGAATTTAGTGGAGACAATGCCATGTGACTTCCAGATTAGGTCCTAGGCAGGACACGGCTTCTATCTGGGTCTCTTCTTCTATCTGGTCCATGGGTCCCCACCGCCATATTGCAGGAAGCCCAGGGCACAGGAGAAGCCAAGTTGGTATTGGAGCCTACGGCCCCAGTCAGGTCCACAGTGGACACTCGGCCTCAGCAGTGAGACAAGGGAAGGAAGAGGCTTCTGAGAATTCCACTGGGGGCCCTACAGACTGTCCAGGCGCAGTGCCTGCCACTTTGGAGCAGAGACGAACCTATGCTCCTCTGCAGTTTTTCAAATTCCTGACCCACAGGAACCATGAGAAATAGTAAAGGGCGATGCTTTCAATCACTAAGTTATGGAGTAATTTGTTACATGGTAGGAACTAATACAGTGTTGCTTGTCCAGTTGCATGCACTCCAGATAGCAGATCTTGGCTATCAGTAGAGAGCATCAAATATAGAAATCTGTATGTAAAGGGACCACCAAAGGGTTTTGCAATTCTAAACTTTTTTGGCAAAAGAGATTATTTGAATCCCAATGAAGAATTGAGGAAGCCACTGGGCATGGTGGCAAACCCCTGTAATCCCAGCACTCAGAAGGCTGAGGCAGGAGGATCACTGTGAGTTCGAGATCAGCCTGGCCACATAGTGAGTTCCAGGCCAGTCTCAGCTACATAGTGAGACGCTGTCTCAAACAAAACAAAACAAAAGAATTGAGGAGTACATGTGTGTTATATGTGTAGTAGCTTAACATAGACAAATATAACAGAAAACAAATGGCAGTCAGTGGAGTTCTGATTACATTCACCAGTCCCACCTCTGTGAGTTCTGCTGAGGAGAAAAGCTTACTTGGGTGCACTAGATTCCTACTATTTGCATTTAAGTTGCTTTTCTACTGCGTCCCAAGCTATTCTTCATTCAGGCTGCTTGTTGTAGCACTGGTTACTTCCTCTTCTTCCTCTTCCTCTTCTTCTTTTTTTTTTTTTTTTTTCCACCCCCCGGTACTGCAGATCAACCTTGGGACCTTGTGCTTGTGAGGTAGGCAGTGGAATCACTGAGCTAAATCCCCAGCCCTTACTGGTTACTTCTCACTGAACAACTTTAGTAATAGTCAGGTGTCCCAGCACACACAATCCTGTAATCCCAGCACTCTGCTGAGGCAAGAGAACTGCAAGTTTGAGTCTAGCCTGAGAAACTTAGCCAATTAGTGAAACCCTGTCTCAAAAAGAAAGAAGGAAGGAAATGAAAGAAAGAAGGAAAGAAAGAAAGACAAAGAAAAACAAAGAAAGGTAAATGCTGGGATATAGCTTGGTATAAAGTTCCTAGGTTCCCCAGTAATTAAAAAAACAACAACAACAAAAAACAAGAATCCTAATTTTACTTTTATTGTTTTTTTGGTACCAGGGATCAAACTCAGGTCCTTGTGCTTTTGAGGCAGGCAACGGAACCACTGAGCTAAATCCCCAGCCTCTAATTCTGTTTTTAGACAGTCTCTGTCTCGGCAGGGAGCTTGGTCAATTTGGCTAAAGTTCCAAAGTTTTGTCCATTGGTTTGGAGAATGATTTGCTCCGTTAAACATCTGATTCATCCCTACGGGGCTCCATAATGTCTTCAGGTGGACATTTCGAGATTTTGTTGTTGTTAACCAATTTTTAGGTTGATTTTCAACTATTTTAGCCAACAAAGGTAAATCTCAGTTGTTTTACTGTATCTCATGAGCAGCCAGTCCTGAGTTGTCCTCTTGCTGCTTGCTATAGTGATCAGCTTTCTGTTGCTGTGATAAAATACCTGACACTTGCAGCTTAAAGGAGAAGAGATTCATTTTGGCTCATGGCTTCAGGAGTTCCGGTCCATGGCTGACTGTTCCAAGGCAGGAATATCACGGCAGAGGACAGCTGCTTACCTCTGGCATCTGGGAAGCAGAGAGAGGAGGGGGAGAAGCCAAAAGAAAGGGGTTATGCCCCTTTGACCCAGCCAGACACACCCAAAAGTGTGCTTTATCCACCTTCTGGACATCTCCCAAGACTGACAGATTGACAATCAAGATTTAGTCACAATCTCCTCCTGTTTTCTTTTGTTTCTCTGGCTGAGGGTCACTGGCAGCACGTGGATATGCCCGTTTGCGTTTCTTGTAGGAGCCCTGATTATCACTGAGGTTTAGGGAGACAGAAAAAATAATGGTTAAAGACAGACTTAGAGCCAGGTATAGCGGCACACGCGTGGAACCCCGCACTTGGGAGGCCGAGAAAGGAGGATCACTGTGAGTTCAAGGCCAGCCTGAACGACATAGCAAGACTCTGACTCAAAACTGAAAGAAAATGCCAGAATCAAAACCAAAACCATGAACAAATTTAGAACTGTTTGAAGGTCCCTGGATCTTCACTGCATTTCATAGAGTTAGCGATGTTGGCTTTAGAGCCTGGATGCTTGAAAGACTCAACCCTTGCTTGTACCAGTGGCAGGGACAGAAGTCAGCATTATCTAAAGTGAGATGCACGCAGCAGCCGTTTCAAACGCCTCCCTGGTGTCTCTGCGGCCTGGGTGAGCTGATTGCAAGAGAAATGGAAAGGTAATGTGCTTAGCCTTGCATGGTGACACTTCCAGGAGCACAATCGACAGAGGGCCAATGACCGGAGCAAACAATCATAATGAAGACAGCCAGGTCCATTTGCCCATGGCAGCGGCTGGAGACCAGCAGTTTGTCCTGCTTTGCAAAGGGGCCACCAACCAGCAGGCTTAGGTTCCCCCCGGGGTGGGTGTCAGGAGAGCACCATGCCCTTTCTCAGGGCCTGGGACCGAGGACCCTCACAGGCCTCTGAGCTACTTCTGCTGTCCCTTCCTGTGCCATCATTGGTGCTCCTTAATCATTTAACATGATGTAAACTCCAAGCGCTCATTTTAAGAAACTGAGTTCTGGGCCAGGATTTAGCTCAGTGGTTCCGTTGCCTGCCTCACAAGTGCAAGGTACTGAGTTTGATCCCCAGTACCAAAAAAAAAAAAAAAAACAAAATAAAAAAAAAAAAAAAAAAAAAGAAAAGAAACTGAATTCTGTTCTGACAATATCGACAAGGATAGCGGCTTAACCATGAGCACTTAGAATGCGCCAGCACTGTAGAAAGCATGTCACTCTTATGACATGTTTTATATCCTGCAGGTGGTTGTGTTGGGGGGGTACAGCTCAGTGAAAGCATGTGCTTAGAATGTGCTAGGCCTTGGGTTCAATCCCCAGCGCACGCGTGCACACACACACACACACACACACCACAACACAAAGCCAGTAGAAATAACAACAACTCTTCTTATAGCCCCAACCTGAAACACTAACAAAAAAAACATGTGTTTTTTCCTTGCAAAAACTTAGTGTAAAGATACACGTAACCTACAATGTAGTAGGCGAGTCATTTTGAAGTGCGTAATTCACGTCTTTACTCTCACAGGGTTGTGCAGCCGCCACTGCCACCATCTAATTCCACAACTTTGTCATCCCCTCTTACAGGAACTCTGTCCTACGAAGCAACGGCCCGCACGCCCACTCCCTGAAGCCCCCGGCAATCTTCACCCCTCTACTTCTCGTCTCTGTGGACTGGCCTTATTTATAGGTTATTTCATGGAAGTGGAATCATACGCTGTGTGCTTCCTTTCCTTTCTGACTTCTTTCATTCGACGTCACGTTTTCTAGGCGAGTCCGCCTTGCAGTGTGCAGCAGGATCTTTTCCATGGGTGGGTACAGCACATTTTTCTCCGTTCACCTGTTGATGGCTGTGTGGGTTGTTGCCACCTTTGGCTGACGTGAATGATGTTTCTGTTAACATGGGCGTATGTCCCTGCTTTTGATTTTGTGGATGTCTTTCTAGGAGTGGAATTACTGGGTCATATGGTAATTCTTTTTTTTTTTTTTTTT